GCCATTCTTTCTGGGGAGTTTGGGCACAGGGAAGATTTGACTGTCAGGAATAGGTGCACATAGTTTGGGGGAAGGAGGGTGGGGACTATAGGGTTGCTACAACAATGACTTACTGTTGAAGAACAGCAAACTAATCGTCATATTACAATTCTCTCAGACTACCAGGGTGGGTAATTAGCTTCCTTGGAGGCTACTTAAAGAAAAACAAGAAAGAAAGAAAAGGAAAAGATTCCTTCCCAGCAAATAGCTACTTTGTCCTTTTAATTCAACTCAATTCATTTCAACTGGGGGTAGTTGCACAAAGGGAAAAATTAATACATTAATGGCTGAAATGGAAACAGAGAGAGACACACTAGAAATGTCTCCCTTTAGTTCTGAAGCCAGGCTTACTTTTGCCCATGAAGATGGCAAGTCCGGGGTCAACCAAAATGGGGCACTGCACAAGCTTTCTTCAAACATCCCATAGGAGCCTTCTGGGCTCAGATTTTATCTATTTGCCATAGTCCCTCGGCCTTCTTTAAAGATAGACATGGCTAATGGGACGTGGATTCTAAGAGTTCATCAGCTCTGCCCGGCGATAATGAGACCTCCTTATAGCAATATTATATAGACAACCAAATCCTTCCTTAACTTGAGTTTAGAACCTAGCAACAGACATTCCATTTGGGGCAAACTCAATATTGGCAGGAGTGGGGACTGAACTCGAAGGGAATAAAGTAGAAGAATTTTGATTTATTCGTGGGCAGAACAGGAAAGAGACAACTTAAGAACTAAGGAATAAAGAATCAAATTATGACGCAAATTACAGACCAAATAGCATCAATTTACTAAACCTCAAGTCAAACTGAACCCACATATTAATTGAACGGTGAATTGGACCGAATATACGTATTTGAAAATCTAGCAAACTTGTTCAAACCAGAATCAAACCTATATATTTTCTAATGAATTAGAACCTCAAAACATTCCTTTAACTGAATCTGAACTGAGCCAATGTTTCATTTGGTTTGAGTCCCTACTAAAGAGGAACGTTTTCGGCTTTCATTTACCTTCAAAGGAAGGTAGTTAAAATTCCCTGGAAATGGCCTTATCTTCCACAACCTTTAGTTACTCAGGTTGAATGAAGGAATGTGAATCCATCCACAAGTCTCAGAATCAAGACAGACTAACACAGGATGGAAACAGGGTGGTACTACCATGTCCTAGAAAAGAACAAAGAATTTCAGCCCCAACCAACACCATTATTCTGTGGCTAAATGTATATTAACTTGCATATGTCCCCTGCTAACAGCTCAGAAAAACCTTGACACCTTATGAAATAATTTTTCTTCTTAATGTGCATAAGGGGAAATTTATGCTAATACAAAACTATGCATCATCTGTAGCTCATCCTTCTGGTTATCTGATTCTGATTCTGTGAAAACTATTGTACAACTCTGTAAGTTGGAAACAACTGATAACAATGGAAAATTATTTGTATCTATAGACATACAAATTCTGTCTTATCCAAAATGGAAATCAAGAATCAAGTCTTGGAGAAGACAAGAAACTCGTCTCAAGTCACAAAGCTGGGAAGTGGTGTAGCTGGGCCTTCCTAGAGAGATGTCTCCCTCTCCTTTTCTAGATCCTATCGCCATCCCCCTCCCAGCTTGGAATGGTACTGAATGAGGCGGAGGTAGGAAGGGGAAAATGGGTATGTCAAATTCAAGCCTTACCTAAAGTACTATTTTGACCAACATCAGTTTTGCCCCTGTGGAATGTTCACTGAGTAGATGCCCTGGACTTGGCTCTAAACTGCCATGGAATGGGCAAGGTTATGTTACATGGATCCTTTTACACTTTGAGGCTGAAATCATGTGGAGGCTCTAGACACATCATCTGAGATGAGCTCAAACATTCTGGAAATTGCCACAAAGGCTAGCTAGAGTTTGGCGTCATTTATGTTCATGAACTATCTGAAATGAAGATTTATACTCTCTCTGCTGAGAACACCACTTTAGATTTTGTGCTGGTAGAAGAGGGGCTGTTTGTAATTCTGCTACTTGCCAAGTAAAGTTCCCTTGTCCCCTCTCAAATTGATTACGCTGTTTATCTTGTGTGTATGAAGTACATCCTCATGCCTTCTCTTTAGCAAGGGAGTTCTGGAGGAGCAAAAGCAGATCTTGTCTGCCTAAGCATGGATTGGGATCTATTATAACTCCTTTCAACTTGACAAATATTCATTGAATCCTAATGCATTCCTGTCTGTCTCTAATATCTTAGAATCAGTGAGGTGCATATTTTGTAGGAGGGAATTTCTGTAGGTAGCATGCTGGAGATCAATAATTTGACATATGTTTAAACTGTGTTTAATTACAGGTGGTTGTGTCATGTGTGCTGGGTAATTCAATTGCATACAGACTGCAAAGAGAACGTATTTACTTCAAGCTGCTGCCACATCAGCATTTCTAACTCATGGTTTATGTGGTGGTTTAAAAATAGGTTCATAAATTTTTTTATACTCATCTCTTCAAGAGGTGGAGCCGGATTCCCCTCCCTTGAATGTGGGCTGGACTTAGTGACTGCTTCTAATGAGTAGACTAGAACAGAAGTGACAGTATGTGGCTTTAGAGACTAAATCACAAAAGGCACTACATCTTCTTCCTTGTTCACTCTCTTGAATCACTGTCTGGGGGAAGATGCTGCCAACAACCATCTTTGAAGTAGATTCTACAGTCTTAGTTAAGCCTTCAGATGACTGCAACCCCGACCAATACCTTGACCTCAACTACGTGAGAGATCCTGAGCCAGACAGAACCACCCAGCTAAGCCACTCCAAATTCCTGACTCATAGAAACTGTGAGATAGTAAATGTTTGTTGTTTTAAGATACTAAGTTTTGGGGCTGGCCCCATGGCTGAGTGGTTAAGTCTGTGCACTTTGCTGCGGCAGCCCAGGGTTTTGCTGGTTTGGATCCTGGGCATGGACATGGCACCACTCGTTAGGCCGCGTTGAGGTGGTGTCCCACATGCCACAACTAGAAGGTTCTGCAACTAAGATATACAACTATGAACGGGGGGAGGTGGATTTTGGGAGATAAAGCAGGAAAAAAGAAAAGATTGGTAGCAGTTGTTAGCTCAGATGCCAACCTTAAGAAAAAAAAGACCAGATACTAAGTTTTGGAGTAATTTGTTTCATAGCAAGAGATAAGTAATACAGGTTAGAAATCCCAGAAATTGCCAATGATATTTCTGAAAAGTGATTAACTAAGTGATTATTGCCAGACTTTATGAATCTTGATGAAATGTTTACAGTCCGTTTTTTTTCCAAGGCCCTGCTTAGAATCTGTACAACCAATTTCATTCTCAATCCCAGTGTTAAAATCTAGGCCTTTGTAGTTTGAGCAATATGAATTTGCTTAGATAGATTCATGTGCTGTTCTGTACACTTAACCAAAATGTCACCAAACACATGCATTTTTATTCCTTCAGCAAAAGTTACCTAAATGCTTACTGGGTCTCTAGCACCACGCTGGGTAAAATTGGTGCTCTTATGCATCTATTCATTCACAAGCATTATTTGAGCATCAACTAGGACCCAAGCACTGTGCTCGGCACTGAGGATACAAAAATGAACATGACATCTTGCCCTTGAGGGGCCCAGTATTTAGTTGGGGAAGTAGACAGGTAAATACATACTTTACAACACAGTGTGGTGAATATTATCCCAGAGATGTGAATAACATGCTATGATATTCCAGACCAAAACAACTATTTCTATTTGAAGTATTGAAGGATGAATAGGAGTTTTTCAAGCAAAGAAGAGTGGTGGGTTAGAGGGATGGCATTCCAGGTGTGAGGGAACAGGGTGTGCAAAGACATGGAAGTATGAAAAGCCTGAGCTGCCTCCTCACAGTTTAGTTCCTTCTGCCTGAGAATAAAGACATGGCTGGTGATATGCATGTGCTCCTGGCAATGTGAGGACAGCAGGACAGGCTATTTTTCTAGGCCAGAGGCATTTCAAAGCCAATTGGCTGTTCAAGCTGCCTCAAATTGAAGGGGAGAGAAAGGGTGCTTGTGCTCACTGCCCCAAGGCTCTCAGGCTAGAAGAATTGTCACAATGAACCCGGAGCCTTGGGAAGACAAATGTGTAAGTTTCCTGGACCATCTAATTTCCTTATCATGAAGAACTCAAATTGTCAGTGCATGAGGCTACTAGGCTTCTCAACTTGGACTCTTGCCTTTTAGATCAGCACCACTCAAACTGTGGGTGCAAGATCTTGCACCAGAACATAAACCAACAGACTGCTGCCTTCATCAATAAAAACATTCTATGAAAAAAGAGTCAGCTGAAGAAAATGGTTCGCTCAGTGGCATGATTTACATTCGGCACAGGCACCTAATCTCGTCACAGACTGATAAATAGCTCATAGGTTGGCGGTGATCCATAAACCACATTTTTTAGATCACTCACTATCCATTAAATAAAATCCTATATGACAAATCTCTTTGTTTCCTTTCAGAACCTGCCCTACACTTTCTTTTCTTATTTTGAGAATGATGCAATTTATTTTGTTTCTCTTTTTGTTTTGACTTCTAAAAAGTTTAAAGTGAAATTTGAAGCTCAAGTGCATCAACTACGTTGACAATTTTGCGTAGCATTTTTTTACATTCTTGTTTTTGATCCCGATCTTCTATTTCAAATTTGTTTGGCTTGATTATTTCATTAACTATGCTTTTGCTGGATGATGTTGAAGATGACAATGAAGACAACCACGACAACAGGCATTACAGCAAGCATGGCAAATAGGCCAGGTTTCTGGTCTGCATCCATGTGAGTTGAATCAAGGTTGTGAATATGTCTCCATGACTCCAAACAAGTTTGACTGTTTAATCCATGAATTGATAGAATTGGTGTCATGGAGACACAATGGTGTTCATGAGGAACTCATTCCTCTGCATGCAGAGGGTATTGGCCTCTGTAAATGAAGTCAGCGTGCACAGTTAGGAGAAGAGCACTCACCGTCTTGGTCGTTACCTGAGTCAGCAGGAGACTTGCTCCGGCGCATGGGGCCAGGGCTCTTGGCTGAACTCTTCTGAGGTGTTGGGGATGCCTTTGGGCCAGCTGTGGCTGATGGGTTTCCCTTCATGACTCGGCATTCTGGTGGAAAAGGCAAAGACAGCTTACTAGAGCCAGGGGAGAACTGAGGCTCAGTATATTACCAGTCTCTGGAAACTGGAATAACCATCACAGACCAAAGCACCTAATAGCTGAGGACTACAAGGTAGCCCTTATTGTTTGTAGGAACAATGGCTCTGGAGAGCAAGGCATGGGAGAAACTTTCAAAAGTCACCTGGGCTGAGCCAGGTGGTTAAATACCTGGATTATGGAAACAAGGGAAGGAATTGAAAAGCAGGTCAGGTAGGTAATTACATAGTCAACTCAATTATTTTTGGAAAACCCAGCCATGTCTCAGAATAGCACCTGTTGCCATAATTAATTAATTTCCTTGGAGAAGAGATTGACAGCTCAGAGGCTGCAGCCACACAGATGAAACATTCATGAGTAATTTAAACAAGGGAGAGGGAGCTACCATTTATTGTTCATTACATGCTCTGCATTACAATAGGCATATTATGGATGTCATGTCATTTTATAAATAAGCACTACGAATACCACCACCACGACTTGCATTTATAAAGTTTTCATCTTTCAATGCACAGTATCATAATCCCCTATGCTGGTTTAATGAAAATATGGGCCAGCAGTGACTGCCACTCAGAACTTATAGAAAGCTCGTGGGTGTGTAAGAGAGTCTGCCAAATGTTTCTACTACTTGCCCCAACCCCAGACTGACCCATTTGGAGTACCCTTTCTATTCAGGTCACTCAGCATCCCTACCATGGTAATTTGGGGCCCTGGTTATGCTAATATATTAGGAGGATTATTATACTCATTTTGCTGATGAGAATACAAAGAGCTTAAGCCTCTTGCTTAGGGCCACAAAGCAAGAAAATGCAGAACAAGGACTAGCAGCCAAGCCACCTGGGTCCCAGTCTAGTGCTCTTTCCCCTGTAGTTTTCTCAACCTTGTGCTGTGATGCTCAAAGTGGAACCAAACTGCTAAGTAAAAGGAGTCCTTTTTTTTGGGACACCTCCTATTTAAAGATACATTGATATATCTTTTCTGGTATCTTTTTTCCAGAATCTTATTTCTGGGAATCTTTTCTGGCAAATTGAGTCTTTTAGGAAACAGAGGTAAGCTGAAAGCTTCTTTTTGTTTGTTTTCCTTGTTTTGGTTGATGAACTTCAGTGATCACTGTCCAGAGCTGGAGATATAGAAGCTATAGGAAATTGGACATAGCCTGGGATTTGTCTAGCTACTTCATCGTCATTTGCCTGTTCTCATAGTGACCACTGCAGAAATGCCACCTCTTTCAGGGTCCTTGTCACTTGAGTTGTTTGTAAAGTCTGTGTTAGTACAACTCAGTTTGTTTTTCTCAAACTTTACTCCTCATAATTGGGAAATATGTTTTGAATGTGTTTTTCCATCAGGATCATATCCTAATCCTGTTGCTATGTGAACTAATTCACCATTAACTTACATGTGGAGCTTGGACTCAAGCAAAGGGAGTTGGACAGATGTTCACCTTTTTCCTGAGATTAACAATCCTCTCGAATCTTGAGTCACAAAGCAGGGGGAATGAGGCAGCAAACCAGAAGGTGGGAAAAAGGAAAATGTTTGAACTAAGAACACAGTGGAAAATCTTTCTAAAATGGAACCATCAACATGGGCCAAATAGCTGGAGGATGTTGACTAGAAAAAACATATACATACAATGTCCAAGTTCTGACTCCAAATGTTCTTCCTATGGTCTGATTGTGCGTGTCAGCCATTTGACAAAATATGTGGTTCAAGATATATGGTCACTATTGGGGAAGATAGCGTGTTTTATTGAGTTTGAAGGCTGGGCTTCTGGGACATCCAATCAACCTTTCACTTATTGACTCATGTATACAAATATAAAGGAGAAGGACTAACAATATTTGCCCCTGAGGGACCATGTATGGATGTTCATCAGGCCATATGAACCCAAGGAAATCCTAAGGGATGGAAGGAGGGAGAACAATGGAGCAATAAAATTCAGTGGTTGAGCTTACCATTTTCATCCAGAGAAAAGTCATCCTGTGCATAGCGAAATTTTTCAGGACCACAGGCAATAAACACATCGTCATCACCAAAGAAATCATGGAGACAGGTTACCTACAGAGAAAGCAGAAACATTGGATGGACACTTGATGGTCTTGTGACAACGAACTTCACACCATGTTGGCAGGGGCAAAAAGCTTCACATATGGGCCATCACTTCTAGCCCCCAAGGATCTCCTTTTTCTCAAAATACCAGGCTCATAGTCTGCACCATGGCTTCTAGTGAGTAAAGATATACTGAGTGCCATGTTTCATATGTGATAGTCTTGCTTCCATTGCATCAAGAGTAATTTCGAGGGGCCAGCCCTGTGGCCGAGTGGTTAAGTTCGCACGCTCCGCTTTGGCAGCCCAGGGTTTCACCGGTTAGGATCCTGGGCGTGGACACGGTACCGCTCATCAGGCCATGCTGAGGCGGCGTCCCACATGCCACAACTAGAAGGACCCACAACTAAAAATATGCAACTATGTACTGGGGGGTTTTGGGGAGAAAAAGGAAAAATAAAATCTCTAAAAAAATTTTTTTTTAAAGTTTAAAAAGTTTAAAAAAATTTTCTTTTTAATTTCAAAAAAGAGTAACTTCCAGACCATGTACAAATGGAATGCCCCCCTCCGAATAAAAGTCAGCAGCAGATGGCCCTCCAAATGTCACCTTTTCTCAGAACCTCAAAGACAGAGCGCTCCTAGTCCAACTCTGGGGCCAGGGGTGTAGGCCAAGGCAGATAAGAAAGATCTGCAGCATGCGGTGGATAGAATCTGTAGCTAACTGAGACATGGAAGTTTCTCTCTTCATTTTCATGAGTTTTGAAAGAAGGATACCAGTTCTTAACTGCTTTGGACTCACAAAAATTGGACTTTTGGTAAAAATAGACTAAGAACCTGGTAGTGGCCCAGAATACCATTCCTCCCTGAAGAACAGGAGGGGAAAACTATCTTAAGCACTTAAAACTTAATCAAGAGCAACGGGTCCCCATAAGCTTGAGGCTCTGCTGGTGAAGCCATGTTCCCAGGATCCTTCCCGCCCTCTAGTGCCCTCTGCATTCCTGCTTCTCCACAATAGAGAGACAGTCTCCCTAACTCCTTTTCTGCACAAAGAAATGAGGGTCCCTGGGAAAGTATGCTGGTCCTTGCAGTCTCCCCACTTCTCAGCTTTCCTAATTACATTTGATTATTAGTCCAGCACATTAGGGAAACCCCAGGAGAAACCATAGAGTCAAAACATTCTTATTCCAATCCTTAGCTTGAAAGTGTTCAAAGCTTCTAATTGTTCTAAGCTACCCATTCAAGCTGCCAGCAATGGCTTTCCAAAGGCACAGTGCTCACAAACTAACAACAGCTTGCTGGGTGCAGGGAGCAATATGTTACATTTGAAAAATGTTTATATTAATAACACCCCCCACCCAGAGTCTATTCAATCCTGTTCCCCCAGCCAACATGATTGTAAGCCTTATACAAAGCAAGAGATACATAAAGATTATCTCTGTTGTCTCAGCCTGCCCATCATCTAAGAGATGCCAAGAGGGCCGGCCTGGTGGCACAACGGTTAAGTGCGCACGTTCCGCTTTGGCGGCCCGGGGTTCGCCGGTTCGGATCCTGGGTGCGGACATGGCACCGCTTGACAAGCCATGCTGTGGTAGGCGTCTCACATATAAAGTAGAGGAAGATGGGCACGGATGTTAGCTCAGGGCCAGTCTTCCTCAGCAAAAAGAGGAGGATTGGCAGCAGATGTTAGCTCAGGGGTGATCTCCCTCAAAAAAAAAAAAAAAAAAAAAAAGAGAGATGCCAAGAGAAGAGAGGGAGACTTGCAGGAGTACCAGAGTCACTCCTATTAAGTCTCTTCCCAGCCCTTTGTCCCGACCTCATCAAATAGGCCAACATCCTTCTTCAGCCCACTCATCCATCATCCATTCACTCCACAATCATGTAACAACAGTCAGAGCTACCACTAATTGAATGCTTGCTCTGTGACAGGCACTCTGCTAATTACTTCCAAATATGTCATCTCATTTTACTCTCACAACAAATCCTAGAAGTTGGCAGCATTGTCATCACTATTTCACAGATGAGAAAACTGAGACCCAGAGACAATAAGTAAATTACTCAGGTGGTAAGCAACGAAGCCAAAACAAATGCAGATCTATCTGACTCCAAAGATTTTGCTTTTGGCCGCTCAGTAATACAAAGCACTTACATATAGTTCAGGCACTGGGGAGACAAAGATGAACAAGACTTAGGCCATGACTTCATGGAGCTCACAATCTGATGGAGTCAGATACATGGAAACAGAGCATTTCCATGTAGTGTCATGAGCGCTAGGGTAGGAGTATCTTTAGGTGCCATTAGCAGCATATCCAAGTGACCTAGTGACTGGCTGTCACTGTTAGTTCAATAAGCATCCTGCATGTTGTTTTGGTAGCAGATCCAATAACAGAGGCTATATGCCTTTGAACCCTGCTGCAGACTCACACCGACATCTTGGATCTTGACTCAATAAAATCTGTAGCCCCTAACTTTGAAACATTGTGCGTCTCTAAATTGTTTACCCCCGATACCTCCTTCACCCTAAAGATCTCTGCCATGCCCTTGTGTTCAAGGCTGCCCCTGACCCTGATTGACTGCCTTTAGTTTTGGTCATGAGTGAGGGAAGCCTCGCCCTTGGGTGTCCCTCCACTAATGGACTCTGGGATTTAACACTTTGTTTCAAGACCTGCCTATATTTTCATGAGTACTCACTTAGTCCTTTCCATTAGATCACAGGTTTCCTAAATATAAAGACCAAGTTTATCTCTCCCTATATATATCTCACTATGGTTCCTGGTAGAGTGCCTATCATATAGTGAGAATTTAGCCAGAGCTATTTTTGCCTCAACCGAATGTAAAGAAAATAAGAAGGAGGCTTTGTAAGAATATACAAAGGCAGAAAAGTAGGAAGAAGAAAGAAGATATCAATCATGGCAGACAACAGGAACTAGCATTCAAAAGTTCTGAAAGGTAACACAAATACACAAATTCAGGAAGAAGAAAGGAACAATGACTGTGGATTCAGAAGTTATTCTTTGCATAACTATGCTAACTAGTTTGAAAACTTAGATGAAATACATGATTTTCAAAGGAAAACCTAAACAATGAAATTAGCTCAAAAAGAAATAGAAAACTTCAACCAACTAGTAGCCATAAAAAGAATTCAGCAAATACTTCAAATAGCAACTCTTCCCCAAAAGGCACCACTCATTTTGGAGATATTGGTGGAAATTGCTTCCCTAGAAGAAAACCCAAAAGTTCAAAAGCAGCCATCGCAGTGCCATGCCATGATATCCTATTGTAGGACAAGAAAACCTTCACAAATTGCTTTGGGGGTTGCTGTTACAATGACCTACCCTTCTCCAACCCCAAGCCTCTCTGCCTCCACCCAGGCTTTAGGAAAAGCCTTTGGATAACCTCTCCTTTGGGGAACTTCTAAGAAAGGCAAAGCTCCCTATGCTTCTGACAAACTCACAATGGTGTGGCTGGCTTCAAACATTCATTTTGCAATCCAGCTGTTCAGCATCAGGTTTCTCGTGTGATCCCACCCTACATTTTACTGGTTCCCAAATGTAGACAAATTCACATTGCACATGTGGATACCCAGCTTTCCCAAATGCCTTGGATATTGAAACACAATAGCCCTCCCTCTTTTGTTACAGATTTGGGAAAATAGAAAGCTATCCGTCTTAAATATGAGGAACCCAAAACCCAGAGAATCAAAGTGGCCCAAGGATGAACAAATGGCTCACGGCAGAGTTGAGACTAGCACTCACGTGTCTTGATTCAATTCAGGACAAAACAATTCAATTACCTGAGAGAACATGCCTTCCTAAAGTCCTGACTTCAAAGGCTTGTATATAGCCTAGACAGGAGAGTCCCCACTTGTCCTAATCAATGCCTGATATGCATTAGAACATTTTACTGGATTGAAAAAGGAAAGCATCTTTATGGATCATGTTTTAGTCTATGGACAAGAAAACTTCTATTCATTACTATAACTGGCAACAGTGTGCAGTAGAGAAGGAGGACAAGGAGAAAAAGAAGAACAAGGAAGAAGAAAAAAAAGGAGGAGAACCAAAAAAAAATAAAAGGAAGAGAAGGAAGAGAAGAATGGAGTTAAGAAATAATTTCCAAATGAAACTCACACTCACACCTGCTTTTTAAAATTCCACGGAGGTAACGTGACACAAATTCCACCTTAGCTTACGTTGCAAATGTACAATTTTGCAAGTTTGTTTTTTGAGATAAAATTTGTGTCACAAGGTGGCAACAGAAGTGGAAAAATAATAATTAAGATACCACTTACAGCATCCTCTGAGATCAAGGGTCTTGCTGACATCAGCTTTTGTATGAGTCACACTTGGGTATTTAAATCAGAGGTAAGAACACAAAAGCATGACACTTGTCATTGTAATTAATCAACTGCCAGCACAAAATCAATAAAATCAACTCACATTAACATTGAACCATTAACTCAATGTTCTTCCTTTAAAAAAAAAGCAGGTATTGGGGGAAGCGAAGCTGGCTTGGTCTTGCGTTAGCATGAACAATAGATCACATGGGCCATCCAGTGTCTTAAATGTCGCAGTACAAATGGGGAAATGGAGACAACGGATCCGTATGTGGGAGCAGTTTGAGTCTATTAGCTGCAAATGGCAAATTCACTCTGCAACTTCATTTCAGCTTGATTAGATTCTCCATCCATATATTACAGATGCTGGCAGTTAGTTCTTGTACGTGCCTGCTGCTGGTAGATTCTACATTTCACTAATTGCTCAGAAAGAAATGTTATCTTGGGAAGTTAGGTCTTGCTTGTACATCTATGAGATTCACTTTCAACATGCAAAATATTTTAAGTTCAATTCCACTAATATTCATTCATTAAGCACTTAACTATGGCAAAGGAACCATGTGAGAGATACAGAAACGTACAATAAAAGGCCCCTGTCTTCAATAGTTAGAATATAAGGCAGACTGTTGTTAGCACTATTATAGAGGCCCAAGGAGCAAGGGGAGTGCAGAAGACAAAGAGA